GACATAGTGGTCTCTCCAATATTCAATACTTGCAATAAAAAGGAATTTTAAAAAATATTAGAATCGGAAAATACGGTAATTTAGAGGTAATTCAGCGTACCACCAAAACTACTATACCGATTCATTTGAATTTTTGTATTATTTGTTTTATAACCACCAACAGTTACATCAAACTTGGCTTTAAATAGTGTAAGGTAATAATCCATTAAAATCTATGTCACGGCCAAGAAAGTTCCGTGCGAAGCCAAGTAATTAAGCTAGTATTATAATACAATTGTGTAAAGCAGAAGCCTACATCGAATGACAGTATAGTAAAAACATAATATGATGAATAAATATTTTATTACGTGATTTCATAAAGTGTAAATCTACACGGATGAAACTTTAAATCTACAAAAACGGATATGAATATGAATATTGTAAATTGAACATTTTTACGTTAAACAAATCAAGATAAAAAAAAATTGAAATAACCCGACAAAGCTTAGGTAATGCAATTATCACTCTATCTTCTGTGAGCCACATGGAACGCAATGCAGAGGAAATAATTTTTACAAACACTATTTTTCTTGAAAATTGTAATTAAATTATTTATCTACAAGAAACATAAACGTTATAAAAATTAAATTAACAACCGGCAATAAGCGCACATGGCCTGGAGAAAAACATTCTGAAATCTATTATTGATCGATATGTATATATTAATATAAGCGTGAATCAAGTAATGAAAAAAAAAATATAATATAATATTAAATAAGTACAGAAATATAGTAATTATTATTTATTATTCTGAAAAAATTAGTTGCAATGATTAACGGATGTGAATGGTTATCGGCTGCAAAATTTAGAAATTCGATCATATGTATTTACAAGTATGCGTAAGATTATATGAGAATACAAATGTCAATACCTCGTAAACATGGGCAAAATATTAGTAATTTCTAATAAATTACGGATGCTAAATGTAATTAATTATACACCATTATTCAAGCTTCCAACTACTTCGTAAGCATGGATTTTATAGAACATTTTACAAATTAACATTTACACATAAAAAAAAGCTGAGATTATTTTATAGTCAAGAAAGAACGATAAAAAAAATAAAAAATGAAACTCCATGACAAATGACTTAAATAAAATATTTACTAATACCATTGGTGTTATTACACATTAAGTATTTTGAAATCGTAAAAAAAAAAAGTTTAATCATAAAATTCATATTTCTATATAATACAGTTAAATATGTGAGTTCATATTATACAGTTGTACAAAAAAAAATCTAAAGCATTATTTTTAATTACTATTGTCATACACGTATTTAAAATGTTTATCTTTTTTTATTGTAACATGTTGTTTTCCCAACAATTTGCAATAATAAGAGATGGTACATAAGTATAAGATATAGTCCTTTTTATTTTTGCATATAAACTCATCATAAATAACATACGTTAATACTTATGTTTATATAAGCTTTTTAAAGATTAAATAATTTAGTTTATACAACTTTTCGCTAAATTGCAAGTATTAAATTCAAGTCCTCAGTACTTACAAAATTAAATCCATTAAATACTATATATCTAAAAATAGATAGTTATAGTACTATCTATTTTTATATTTTATTTTTTTTATATTTATTTCATTTTTTTTTTTACGTATAAAAATACGTATTCTTACGTATGTTTGAAAAAATTAATTCTTGAACATGCATAAAGAAGTTTAATTATTAAATACGATATGAATTTTGAAATTAAATTGTACATAGCGGCATAGATTTAACAAGGAATAATTTTTTGGAAGTGATAAAATGTGTGGTTATAATAATGAATTATTCCAAAAAATTTAGAGCGAATAGAATGGAAACGATAAATGTTTTAATCGTTTTCAAAAAATGTAATACATTTAAATCAGTTTCTATGGAAAAAAAAAAGCTTATGATTAAGAAAAAAATTACACTACATCTCAAAGTACTACTTTTGCACTAAACAACCGATCACACATTAGATTACCTATACATTATGTTATATATTTATTATGTCATTCTTATTAGACAAATATAAACGTTCCATCAAATCTGTTACCATGTGAATATTTTCCACTATACTAATGAATTTATTTCAATCATTTCAAACAACTTTTCTTTAATTCAAAAATTTTCTTACGTTTTCAGTTCTATTATATTATTATACTTAAAGTTATTCGTATAGCATGTTTTGTAAAATACCACGACCATTTACTTTTGTGTGTGTTTAAATTTCATAAAAACGTACAATATTATACATCAGTTATGTTTATCTTCCGTATTTTACATGCTCTATTATTAAAAATTATGTTCAAAAGTTATTTAAGACGAAAAAGATATTCATTGGAAAAATTAAAAGGACGAAACCATAAACTTTCGATCATCGATAAGTTTATTGACGTTTTACTGAAGTAATTTATATTTTTTTTTTATTTTGACGAAGAATTACATTACACAAACTATTCCTAGTATAGTTTGATGTGGTGTGTTTGGACGGAAAAATGGTTTGCTGTAAACAAAAAAAACAAGAAACTATTGAAATGGGCTCTAATCAAGAAAATCATCAAAACCGATGGGACCATTGTTAATTATGTGATAAAATCTATACTAGGGTTTATGAGTAAATTGTTTTGTTTAATACTATACTACCAGGTGCGGATCTTTGGGAAGAGACGTTACGATCACCCCCCCTGGGCTTTTTTTTTTTACAGATTTATTTAATATATTTTATATAGGTATATTAATTTTATAAATACCTATAAATTATGTATGTATTTGTATAAGTAGGATGTTTTATGATAATAAATAATAGTTGTAATCATAGTTCTATATATGACCGAGATTGTGACCGAGCGATTCAGCTATAACCATTAATTTTATAATATACAGATAAACTGAGGTATAGAAATATTTGTAAACCGTATTTTTAAGAAATCATTAATAGGTTTGCAAATGAAAAAAAAAATAAATGTAAAATTATTGTTGTAATTAATATTTTTAAATAGTAAATTTTTATAGGTACTTAAATAAAGATACCTAGTTAATTATTTGTATTAAGCGTTGTACTTATTTTTCAATAAATTGGTTAAATAACGGTTAAGTATACATTGTACTCTATATAGTGAGTAATCGATAGTTGGAAACACTGTAACTCTGCACATATTAAATATATTTAAGTTATGTTTTTTTAGATACCTAACAAACTTTGTCATACACTTATTACACTAATTAAACTAATTTTAGGCCATTAAATTTCGCGCATGCACATAAAAACTTTTTTTGTTTTAAATGACAACCCTACTTTTTCTGGTAATTATTTTGACAGGTATTTTTTATAAATTTTAATGGTCAAACCAACTTCCTAAGTTAAAAATTAGCTGATTTATGAATTTTTTAATGTTTGATAATTTTTTTTTTAAATTTTTGAACTATCCACAAATTTGATTACTTAAATTATTTTTTTCCCCCATAATATGATATCTCCTAGTATTATGTTTAGTACCTACTTTTGAGAGGGATAATGCTTTATCTTACCATACTTTTTTCCCCATGTAATAATTTATCTCCCTAGTAAATTAAAAAAAACATAATTTTTTTTTTAATTTTAATTTTTTTAATTGGTTCAAATTACATTAATTTATCTTATGAATTGTTCAAATTGTTCTCCATTATGAATTAAGCATGCTTCTGCCCTCCGTAGAAATTCTCTATTTGTTGCACTTGATATTTGTTCTTCAGTAAGCTGATTACGTACCGCATTTATTTTATCTTTGAAATGCATAAGATTAGTAAGTGGATCTTCATAGACGATAGTTTTTAGATATCTCCACAAAAAGTAGTCTAGTAGTGTGAGATCTTGGGATCTAGGTGGCAATTGTATTCTCCCAAAAGTTCCTATCCCACGATTTTCAAAATTTTCGTTTAAATAATTCCTCACAACTGTTGCATTATGTGCTGGGGCTCTCTCTTGTTGCAAATTCAAATTATTTCTTGTTACAAGAGTAGAAATATCATCTAGCATGATCGGTAACTCATTCATTAGAAATTCTAGATATCGTCTTCCATTTAATGTACCGTTGTAGAAATAAGGTCCCGACAATTTACCTCCAATCAAACCGCACCAAATATTTGCTTCCCAGACACATTGGTTATTTGTTTCAATAACCCAACGGGGATTTCGATTATCCCAATAACAATTATTTTGTTTATTTATAATCCCATTGTTAGTAAATTTAGACTCATCTGTCCACAATTTGTAATTTAAAATTATAGAGCTATTTTCTAATTCAGTAATCAGTCAAAAAATAAACGTAGTTCTACGTTCAGTATCACCTTGACGTGATGCAACTATTTCAACTAATATCAAACATTTAAAAATCCATAACTTAGCTAATTTTTAACTTAGGAAGTTAGTTTTACCATTAAAATTTATAAAAAAAATACCTCTCAAAATAATTATCAGAAAAAAGGGGGTTTGTCATTAAAAAAAAAAAGTTGTTATGCGCATTCGCGAAATTAAATGGCCTAAAATTAGTTTAGTTAGTGAATACACTATAATATGTAATAAGTGTATGATAAAGTTTATAAGGCATCTGTAAAAACATAATTCAAATATATTTAATATGTGTTTGAGTTACAAAGTGTTTCCAGCTATCGATTACACACTATACATCGCTCATAAATATTTTTATTCACCCCCCCCCCTTAACCAGGCTTCAGATCCGCTTCTGTATACTACGTAATTTGTTCTATTAATTTTCTCACTAACTTATCGTTTATAAAAATATAATTACATATATTTTTAAAAATATTTCGTTTGATTTACAGTGTTAAGAAATTTTTCTTTTACGCTTTTTTTAAGCACACAATTAATAAACAATTAAACAGATAATGATGCGATGGGAATGTATTTGAATTAATTATTATTATTATTGTATCTTAGGCTGTGTATCGAATAATTCAAAGAAATTATATTTTCCAGGTGGAATCGTATTGACCATGACAATATTCGTGTTCCTTTTACTGCAACTGAATTATTCTTATACCCGGGCCACCGTGATATGCTCGTTCGTAGGGAGCGTACTGCCGTTGGGATTGGCATTTTCAACGTTTTGTAGGTTTGTTTAAAAATGTTTGAAGGTAAAAGGACTATAAACAACTGTTATAAAACTGTACTTATATGCAGTGATGAAACTTATCTATATAAAAACATTAATTACCTATTATTTAATGTAGATAGAAATAGAAATTTTATCTATTTATCTATGTATGATAGTTATCTACTGTTTATTTATCTATTTATATATAACTATAAATCAAAATGTTTCCTAGGTATAAATTCTATGTTAGTGCTTCTCAAACTCCTGTTATGTGGCTCTCTTAAATGTAATAATAAACATTTTAGGTCCTCTTGATATTGATTACCCATATACTTTACCACACGTTCATTATGTCCATTGGTGATAAAATGAAACCTATACGTATACGGTCGTTCGATACTGTTCGAGATAGAAACTGCAGTCTTAAATAAAATGTGTAGCAAAAAAAAATTGTATTTTATGTATAAAAAAATAGGTATGCAAATGTAAACAAAACTCATAATTTTATGACAATAATAATAACCGTTACAATTGGTATAAGTAATCAAATAACACGAACTATTAATATCTTTTTTTATAGTTAATAGTTAACATAGTACCTAATTAATATAGTATATACCTAGTTTTTCTGCAAATCTGCTACAAGATGCATGTAAAAACATTCGAATCGAAAAAATAATTGTTCAAATAATTTACTTCGTCACTATGATAATATTATACGAAACGATTTTCCACCTTAACGGTATATTAATTTATTAAAATTATACGTTCGTTGTGAATGCAGATCGATTTGCATGATGGTCTTGCCACAACTGTTCTCCGACAAAGGTCGACACGTTCTGCTTATGTATGCGTTTATGTTGACGTTTTCCGGACCTTCCAAGACCACGTTGCAGAATACCGGGATTCTATCAGAATCGCTCACTTGCCTTCAGGTGTGCAGTCATAAAATATATATAATAATATCATATATGTGCAGTAATTGACGTATTAATCACGAGCGTGCGTAATTCGGACGGACATTTTCAGGACGAAATAGAATCGTCTATACGACAAATCGTGGAAATAATTAGAAAACCGCTGCTGGCTGTCCGGTCTTCAGTGATGCGTATAAAAGCTGAACTAGCCACGGTCATCGATAAAATGAAAAAATCCATGATAGCCGTTAAGAATACCGTGACGGCGTTAGGTGAGCAAATCGTTATTAAATGTTGTTCCGTGTTTGATGTAAGCTACACCGTCTCAGTGAATACCGAAATCCACACTATTACTACGCGACACTAACATATGGTTCGTAGATGGACGCAATATAATTCTAATAAATATTCGATGATTTTTCTGTTCTTATATGATATATATATATATATTTTTTTTTTATTAGCTTTTTGCTTTACAATCAAAATCCAATAATTATTGGATAGTACAGTTAAAAAAATTATTAAAACAATTATTCATAACTTATGTACAACATTTGAATGATAAAACAAGCTTCCAAGGTGATTATTATATTTGCGACAAATTCCGAAATGAAATTAAGAATGAAGTGTTGGTTGAGGGTGATTTCAAGGGATTTCAAAGAATTAAAAAAAGATACGTGTTTCGTGCACAGATAAGAACATTCAAAAAAACGATATCGCAGAAACCCTATGTGAGATACCAAGTGCAGACAGAGGAGTAATTTTAACCTAATTCGTTGGTGTGGCAGGTAAAATTGTATGATGTTGTTGAACCATGTTTTATGTTGAATGTATGGAAAAATATTTTTACGGCTGGTGAAAAATTCTGCTGGCAGATTTGTCCATTGAGTGGTCCAGATATTTTTTATGTGATAATGGAATGAAGTGGATTCGAGAAGGTTAGGTAAGAGCAAGGCAGTTTGAATTGGATTTGGTTAGGATATAAAAATAATCCTTACCCGTATCGAAAAACACGGAAGTGGCCTCGGATGTATAATTTGAAAAATGAAAACGAAAAAAATATATCTCTGTTTAATTAAGTAACATCATTTTTTTAATTAAAAAATTCTACGCAAACAATAAAAAATCGATCAGTTTAATGTTTTTATTTCTGAACGTTGTTATAACGCGACATTAGCCTTTCTTGCGCCATGTCTCAGATATATAAATACGTACAAGTGCACAGTTTATAATAAGTTCTAATAGTTTTTCGACACTTTCTTTTCCACGACGTCGCGTACACACAAGCGTTCGCTTACGTGTCCGATGTAAATGCCGCAAACGAACCGTCGAACGGACAAAGATGTTTTGACAACATTAAATCTGTTCCGCGTACATAGACGCAACTAAGGTAACACATCTGGGGGGCTACAGCCCTCCTACCAAAACTTAAAATAACCTGTATATTACCCCTACTCTTATATACTATGTTAATATATTTTAGATTCTGAACCAAGTTGGATTTACTGCAATGTGTATTTTATTGTATGTGACACTATTGCGAGTTAAGTATGCTGAATGCAGTATGCCATGTATATCATGGAATATTTATGGGGAGGCTAAATCTTGGGCCTGGAGGAAATAAGCTCCCTCCCCCCTAGTTGCGCCTATGTCTGCGGACCCAAAATCATCGATTGACGGTGCGCGTGAGTGTTTCGGCCAGGGGTAAGAGTTCATCGAGAACGAACTACCAACACCGATAGCCACAAACGCACACGCCTACAATTTTATCGTGAAACGTTTCCGAACACGTTTACGGACGGGACGCGCAACAATTCGTTTACTGTACCTATGTGTTTTCATGTGGTTTTCAAATAGTGCGGACAATCAAGTCGGCGTACGAATGGTTGTACAGTATGATGACCATATGCAACAAAAGGGTCGGCACGCCGTACCAGAGGTGCACGAGGATGTTCGACGACGCGTTGGATGAGTGCAAAGTAAACGACTGATCGTGGCTGGTAATGGTTAGGGTACAGGGGACCGTCGTGGTTTGGACTCGGTGACCGGCGGTTTCGCTTTCCTGGTGGTCGTCCCTGGAGAAGAAACCGCATCGCCACCGTGTCCACCACACTGATCGAGTCCTACTCGTACCATGTTGAAAAGCAAAACGAATCTACCGACTGTCTTAGTCAAGAGAACACACGGGGAGTAATTTGTCTAAAAAGTCCTCATTAGCAAATGTAATAAGAAAAAAAATGAATGTTTCTTAATGACCTGACTGCGGCGACGCCCGATCACTATTCAAACGTACTTAGTATTGAAAGTCACTGAACAAGTAACGTTTAAGTTCGAAAAAGGTGAAGTGGAACAAAATACTTTCATATGTTTGTACGCGTATGTGTGTGCCGTTACGCGAAACCGATTTGTATTAATCTGTCCGATGACATTATAGGTCATAATTTCACGCGTCTCGATCAAATCGATATATTGAGCTTTTACTTACGAAATATGTGCTTCATAGAATCATGCAGCGGAGCATTTATGTGCCCGGGGTGAAACTATTGTATTTGCTCTCCTCCCACTTCCAACTTGTCACTATTCTTTACAACCTCACAACACCCTTTTTCATTCTCAATTTATGAAAAATATGCTTCTTGCTTTTTTTTAATAACATATTAAAATATATATCCTAGGGATTAACATTATATAATTTAAGGTGTTTTGTTAAATTCACTAAGATCATACCAAATAATGATATAAATAAATGTTGTTAAACAATTTAATAACAATTATTTTCTTGCTTACGTGAATAAATAGGTATCATAAAAAATATACGTTATACCTTTCATCACAGTTTATATAAAAATATATCTTGAACTCGTATAGTAATAATTCGCTTTATACGTAGTATTCATATCACGTTCAATCACAGATTCTATATATATTTGTGCATTCGACTTAAAATTATTTGATACGATAATCCGTTATCAGAAATGTATTGATTAATTAAAAAGTTTTAAATAATTTACGTTAATCCATGTTTTACATTTTGTGATAAAAAAAAATAATACTCTCAAAAAAATTGCCACCCCTATAATTTTGCCACTAGCGGAATTTGCCCCTTTCGCCTCCCCCTTAAACGTGCCACTGGGATCATGCATGATCAGCTTATCGGAGCTTCTCGGCTTAAATGGAATACAGTTGTAGTTATTAGATCTGCACAACTACACTATAAGTAAAAACACGGATTTTTTAACATAAAATATGAAAGAGGGTATTATCAACGGTAATCCACTTTGGTAACTTTGACTAGTGATTCGGCTACGACGCAGGAATAATAATATTAAAAAAAAAAATAATAATGACTATTCGGTAAATAATTTATGTACCTATAATTGAACCTTTAATATTAAAATTCACTTCGAGAACGGCTCAACCAACAGACTCATTAGATATAATCAGACTGTGACTGGTTGCCAGTTTAAATAATATATTTAATAGAATTAATGATCATTAGACCACTTGTACTACCCAAAGACCGAGATATTGTATCTTAGTACGTTACTTTCTTCTAGAAAATTAAATTACTGAGTAGTTTAATTTAAAAATTTCTATACGGAGAATATTGTAATATAATATAAATTTATAAGTATTGTATGGTATATGGTGCACTGGAAAATCCCAGGGAAAATGTTGTCCTTAGTTGTGGTTCTGGTGTTACCCTATTATATATACATCCCTCTTTGTCAAATTTTGAATTATTATTTATGCATTTTTATTGTTATGTTATTTATTGGAAAATCAATTAAATTATTAATATTTTTATATTTGTACACTATATATAGGTTAGCGTGACACCTGTTTTCAACTGGATGTGTTCAATGTCGTACGTAGTGTCACACGTATGTTACGCGGTCAAGTTTTTGGACAGTATCTGCGAGTTTTTCGATTTCATAAACGAGTCTATATTCGGATCTATCCGAGACAGTAGGCTTAATTCCTAAAACATACCAACGATTTCGCGGACATGTTAAAATACCACGCACGATTTTCAGGTCTGAAGAGTTATGTGCGGCAAATGACAAATATGTTTTACGTATCCATCGAGATGAAACATTCGTTTTCGTTCGAGTCCACCCCGAGCAGACTGTCCAGTGACATCATTCGTGGCATAATCACGGAAATCAAATATAAGATCGACAATGTCGTCCTGTTGTTCGACTGGGCCGGGTTAATTTTCTCGTTCTTCTTCTTGTACGTGTTTCTGAGGTGAGTGTTTTTTAGTTGTTGTCTTGTTCTTCACGGCCGTAGACGCTCGTATAGGAGGCATTAATACGAAAAACATACATATACATTTCAGGGTGTTGCAATATAGACAGAAGTATTTGACGATAGATTCTTATGATAACAAATACTTGACGCAGGAACTATACGATCTGGACGAACGGAAACAGATCCTCGACCGACCTACTATTTTTCCATTAAGCAGGATTGAAAAAAATAAATACATAGATGTATGTATGAACATGACTACTACCAATAGATGAGTTTTCCTTATCTGTATGATAATTCAATAGGAAAAATTGTCATTGATCCAATTTATTTACAAGGTCAAATTGAAAATATTCCTTGAAAAATAAAATCATACTTATGATATTTTGACGGGTTTTAAAAATTGACTTTTTGGTGATCCTACGAACAGTGCCAAATCTAGTAGACTTAACATCAGGTGCTAATAGAAATACAGCTCTCTTATATAGGAGGAAGTATGGTGTATGTTCATGATTTTTTTGATTTTTATAAGCTTAAGCGCGCCTTTATACTAACAGCGCCTGGGGTAAGCATAGCCACTTTCTCCCCTTGATCACGTACTGCCAACGAAACAATATTCTAAATTACTGCACTAAACATTATTTTCCAATCGAACTTTTTCTTTATTATGCTTTCGACTTGTTCATTTCAACTGTTATGATAATCACATACTATTGTGAATTCTCCTATTAATTTTTGTCGGTAACATAAGACGGAATCAACAGTAGTTTTGCGTACACGTAGCATTGCCAAACTAAGTTCTCGGCTATAATTTTATCGAATATAATAATACAAATGAGCTGATTAAAATTAAAAGTGCTCCTGTTACTATTATGAAGTAACTATATCCTGGAATCTCAATTATTTACCGTGACGATGCGTTTTACTTGTGTTATCGTTTTTAATAAACATCCGAATGAACGTATTATTTTTCCTTAAGGGAAACGGATCATTTTTTAGGGGTTCGGTATAGGCAATTATATTAGCGCGTACGTGCGTGCGAAGCGTACATGTGTATGTGCAGTAAATTATCATTAGTGTTATCACGGCTTCCGCACTTCCTTAATCTTCCGCACGCGGACGTACAAGTCACCGCGCGCGTTAACAATCTAGAATGTATGTTTTATTGTGATAAAAGTATGTACTTTTTGTTAATACTACCGTTCAATCTAGTTATGTGATAAGATTTTTAAAAAATTATTTGAATTCGTTATTTTGTCTACATGAGATCGATCAGACCACATTTCAAGTTTTTTAATTTTATCTTGGAACAATCGACATTTAAAATTTCGTAAATTTTAAAATATTCAAACCAAATTATTAGATTTTAGGGGTCAAAATTTGAAAAATTAGTCTGATCGATCTAAAGTACACATCATAAAACAGTTTTCAAAAATCTTATCGTATTATTCAATCCATCGGTATGATTGACAAAAGATAGGTATGTTTTAGTTGAAATAATCGACCGTTTGCAATTCCCTTAAGAATATTTATATACAACACGAGATATAAATATGTTCCATAAATTGCATCATAGGTCCTCTACATATGACCTAAATATTGTAAAGCGATTGTGCATATATTAATAATTTACATTAATAATATTAATAATTGACATAACGATGCATATTTGTCTGAACGGTAACTCGAATAAAAAATGTATAAATAGCGAACGTCTGTCCATCTGTTGCCGAGGGAGAGGAAAGCGCTGTTCCGGTCGTTGGCCATAATGGTGCTGGCCACGTTCAAGATACTAATACAGATGGCCGTGGACTACAGTCTTTATTGGATATTGATCACAGTCAGGAAGTACGGCAGGATGTCGTCGAAACTAGACCGTAAAATAATTTAAAGCAATAAATAATATTATATTATAGGGGTTGGGTGAATGCAATTCTAAAAAAAAAAACCAATTTGATTCAGGGCTTTTTAGACATTTCGAATGTACCAGTTACGTAAAAATTATAATTAATTAATTGTATAATTAAGTTGAAATAAATCAGTTAGTTTAAATTTAAAAACTATATTTATATTTAAAAATATAGTTATAATTAAATCAAATTGTTTAATTTTACCTTAAGCCTATGGTACAAGCTCGAGTAACGTGTAATCTAAAATGCATGCCTTTTGAATTTTAAATTGTCCCCTTCTACCACTATCTTGGTCTGAATCTACCCCCAGTACCTAATAATAACTCTGACGCGCTAATAATGAAAAAAATGTTAACCCTGTTGGTGGTGGTTGTTATCAGCTCCGAAGGCAATTGAAGTGAATGTTGATGGCGACGGAATACTGGCCGACCTGTATAAAACGATAATCCATACATTTAAACCGGTACCGAACTCAATGAATATGGACACGATGAGTTGTCTTCCGAACCCATTAATGCCAGATTACGATTGTTATCGGCGGATAAGTAATTAGTTATTTATGCAAACCAAGACTAATCGAGTAATATTATTGTAACACGAGTTGAGTCCCGTCGATGGTTTGGAATCCCGCATTTCAAAACATTTCTGACTATCGTAATATAGAAAATTATCGACAGATTGCTAACGATTCACTGTTACAAAAGTTTGAAATTCCTTACCATCAAATCATATTTTCATCGTTGGAACGAGCAGTGTTTTTAAATCCAAAATGCCTGGTCGATTTGAAGCATTTTTTTTTAAAATTTGTGAAGGGAATCAAATTTAAAGAAATAATACTCTTTCATCGAGTCAATCAAATATGAGACCAAATCTACTATATGTGTTTTTAATTCTTTACCCGAAATTTCGAAGGCATTTTTCTTTAGCATTAAACTAACCATAATATGTCATAATTCTTCCTCTTCTTCTTCTTCGGGAAATCGACCACTAGGACCATCCCGGCAAACACCCTTCTCTCCAACCATTTGTGTCAGATGCTCATTCCTTCCAATCTGACCCACCGCCTAAAACGATTACATCTTTTTTAACCAGATTTTCCCATCTAATGCGAGGTCTTCTCATCGGCCTCTTCCCTGTAGGATCATTTTTTAATATTATACGAAGTAAAGGATTCTGACTATGGCAAGCATGTACGGCCCACTTTCATCTTTAACTCATGATTATTTCCAATATATTCAGTTTTTGGAAGAGTAATTCTAGTTCGTTATTTGTTCTTATCTTTCACTAATTGCTATTGCTATCTTTTACCGGTCTATAGATCTTCCTTAAAATGTTTCTCTCCCATACTGCCAACTTACTTTTATACATCATAATAATCGTCGAAAATATGGCTGACATTGTATCGCGCATATTATATAAGACCGTTGTAAACATCATTGTAAGAGTTATTACCACGACCGTTACCGACCGAGGACCGAGTAATGATTTCACTATCGTGCTTAAAACATTTTTTATTCATTTTTAAGCGGTCGTGTTAATCCTAACATGGATCTTGGCCATTGTGCAACCGTACGGTTTACGTTTTCGGTCGTATACTATGGGATACTATCATCCAGACGTGGCAAAGACTAGAGCAGTGTGGCTGCATAATCGCGTGATTCTCAGGAGAATCAATTTTGTCACGTTCGCACAACGATTCATGCGTAGGAAATTCGGCTTAGGCGGTGAAAATAGTGCTACGGACACCTCGTGTTTGGATTTCATTTATTCAAGGTCAGTATATTGTTTTTTTTTAAATCGTCCAACTCCTCCTTAAGCTCCTAGGTGGGTGGTCATCCGAGATTTTAGCAATAAAGTAAATACTGAAAATCAACTCACTAATAATGCAGCCATAACCGTACCGTCAACGAAATGTTTTAAGTTGAAGTTAACAAAAATAACAATAAAAATCTTTATTTCTAATATTACATTCAATTCATCCATTATTTGATTGTTTATAGATAAATTAAGGAAGATCAATTCAAATCGTAATAATATATTTCACGTGATATTTAACTTGTATATAGTTTTAAATATTGTATTTTTCAAGCGTTTTTTAATTTTATAATCTTAATATGTATTTCCTATTTTAATCAAATTGATGATGTGCTTATATGTATATATTATAAAGATGTCCACTTTTGGATCGTTTATGGAATCGTCGGAAGCAGATGGTATGTATTTTGTGCGGCTACAAGGCAAAGGAAATGGATTTAAAATCAGGACACATCGTATTGTGCACTAACGAAGGCTGCAAAGGTATCTATTGCTCTAAATGCTTCGTCGACATAAGAAACAAATGTACGCTGTGTAGTAATCCTTTGGAATACGGAGACATAACGGACGTTAGCGAAGAAAAGTATACAATTTAGGCTTGTTTCAGTCATCGGTACAGTGTTAAATATTGTTAACCTATAATAGAAATCTGCGTTCATAGAGATAGCTCGGACGAAATGCAAAAGAACTTTGAGATACTGCGAGCGAAGCGAAAAAAACCCGCGAGGAAAACTAAGAAACGATGGTTCGCAAGGACTAGGAGCAGCAAATCGTCCTTGGGTTACAGTAGAGTCAGCTCAAGAGAAGAGGGTGACGTGGAAAGTCAGTACTCCTAGAGACTTCATTTTCATTATCACGCTATTATTATGTTATGTGAAATAAGAATAGATCGATATCAGAGTATTCAAGAAACGGTCATTTTGGTGCGAACAATTTTTATCAATCCTCACTTTATTTGCGTTAGCTATCCATCTCAGAAATATTAAATTTCTGATTCACTTGAATATTTCCCCAGCAGATTTATCAACAACTATAATTAGGAGAGATCAAATACAGCGAATGACTAACCCTTTGAATTTAAGAATGAACTCATAACAATGTTATAATGTATTTTATTATTATTTTTATTAACCCGTGGGTTATTAACTCTAGCGCCATTTCATATAGGATGTTTTAGATCCGTTTACTTTTGTTAATTTATTTGTATGGTAAACAATTAGTGTTGGTGGTGGTAATGGGGTGGCATTTTTTCTATCTAAGCTGTCGTCTCGTTTAGAAAGCGAAACCACCATTCTTATTGTCTTAATCATATTGTGTGTGTATGTGATCTGAAGGTTCCAGCGGATGCGACTCGGACGATACGTGCAGTTCTGTGTCCAATTCATACGAAAACGATCACAACTACGTGAACGCGCCTCTAAATTACGCGCCGTTGGTCATAGAGAGTCAATACAGTATTCATCGAGTAAGGAAGTCCTGTTGAGGATTGTGAAATCCTTCAAAATCGTAACAAACAGTTTCCCGAAAATATCAATTTGTAATAATAATATTTTATATTATGTAACGTCTCGACGAGTTCCTATTGCAGACGAACTCAGGTCTTTCATAATTGATTGTATCACATTTATCAACGTTTGAAGTAGAATTTCCAGGCCATAAGTGTATTGGAGAAGGCTATAATTATGAAACTAATAATTACAATAAAAACTACATGGTTTATTACTTTAATAAAAATATTTAACAAAACAGTTATTATCACAATATATGAATACCTACTTAGACATTGCATTATTGTGTGAGCATTTTTAACGTACTTCTATTTTATGGAACATTTAATACAAAGATTTTTTCCAAAGTTGCATTAAAAATCTTTTTATTGGAAGTATTATTATGATTGAAGTTAGACAGTATAAATTTATAAAAACATAAAAAATTGTACAAACTAAGAAGAATAATGCCTATTAGAATGGTTTCAAGTAATGGAATTGACTTTTCATTGAAAGTTTTTATTTACGTTCCTATTCTGCTTATTTGTCTCATATGTTCAAATATATACAACTAAAAATAATAAAAAGTACTTCGACCGAGTTGACCTATTGTTTCTGCGGCAATGTATTCTTGAAGATTAGATGTTTTAAATCAGTATGGTGTTGTTGGATGATACTAGAGTAGTAATAAAATAACTATACATTTTAAAATCATATAATCTTTGAAAAGTGTTCAAGGTTATTTTTGAAACATATGTTAACAATAAAATGTATCAACGCCGCACATTATGAAATGCCTTTAAATCGTTATCAAGAAAATTAAACAAATATTTATTTTATCTTTTCACAGAATGTTTTATTAGTAACTCTCCTCAAATATTATAATAATATTTTTGTAAATAAATTCATAGGAAAAAAATGGGATGTATTAAATTTGAACTTAAAAAATTAAACCTTTCAGAACAATATATATCTGTTTCAACATATTCTACTATTCATAATTACATTTTTTTTATTAACAATATAACTTAATCATATTTTGTATTTTAACACATAATTTTATTTGAATTTATCCTTATACTCTGACTTTTTGATAATTTATAAAGTTAGCAATGATATTTTAAATAATTATAATTCAAATAAACTGCATTTTTCGTTTTCTATATATTTTTGTTTCTAAACAATGGTTTACCATAAAGAGATGAAATTCATAACAAACTGTTACATTTCTATTTCTAGACTCGTCAATGATTTTATTAAATGAAACAAATCAATTATTTTCTAAATATACATGAACATTTGAACTTGTAAGAACATCTAAATATCCCAGGGGCATATTTTAGGGGGGGACGTAGGGGGCGGTCGCCCACCCAGAATCCTTATTAAAGGAATCGATTATATGTGAGAAGCACATCTCAATTTTTTTTTAGTGTATATCGTTTTATAACGAAATTGAATTAGTTAACAATTCTGATTTTCTACAAAAATATTGGTTATAAAATAATGACTAATGAGTGAAAAAAAAAAAAATTACAGAAAAACATATTGAAATATAATAATTGAAGGCGAACGGATGCGTATAATGATTTATGTATTATATTTTATCAATAGGGTTCGGATTTTATAGCTTTTATTACTTATTATAGGATATAGATAAAGATAGCAAAATGAGTTATTCATTTGTGTTATTAAATAGGGACTCCAAATTAAAAATTTTATTTTGCTATTTTTTACATATTTGAAGTATTTTAGATTTTTAGTGCTATTTTTTGCTAATATACATGATTTTATATTTTATTTCGTATTTTTCATGAATCTCGTTTGTATTGAATGAAAAAATAGTATTCATTTATGTGAATCTATAAATTCCCACATTTTCTTTTCATATTGATAAATAATATGGTATTTACTATTTAACGTGTTACAAGAATCTATTTTTAAGTAGCTTGGCGATACCAAATATATTTATACATTTATACTCTCTTATCCGTTTTATTTATTTTAATTTTATTATTGTCACGTTAAAAAAATACACAAATATTAAGGATTCGCCTGATTTAAATATTACCAACAATTTAATTTGTAAGTGTTGAACCTGAATTAAAGAAAAAAATTGAACCTGAATTAAAAAAAAAAAAAATTGAGTGCCCCCCCTATCTAGAAGTAAGTCTAAATACGCCCCTGAAATGTCCCTGCATATGATACAAATGGTGTTTTTGTATACCCATTTTTTTGTTTAAAACTTTTTTAATTAAATAATATTATATAACTTCAAATGCTATTTTTGAACAACGATTCTACCTAGATGCGTAGCTAGGTATTTCAAAAGAGGAGTATTATTCAAAATTAATTAAAAAAATTATACAGAACCAAATCCCATAATTTTACGTATAATTTATTGTACAAGCATACAAACACATTAGTACATTACACATTAATATCTATTCACATGTAATATACTAATGTTTGAGGAGGTATTTAAATATTTTATTCAAATTTCAAATGTACATTTTGTCTCTTATATATATTTTTTATCGCGCATAAAACGTCACAAAACCACGTTATTGTTATCGCAATATGAATGTATATTTCAGTATGATAATTATGTATTCATGACGGATTATGATGAATTTTTATCTTTATAAGAATTAGCTATAACATGGTCATGGGTAGGGAGATGTTACACCTGCAATACCCTCCTGGCTACGTACCAGCTTCTGCCATATATTTTTGCTTTATAATCCGTATGGTTTTCATTTTTTTAATCTCGCTGATTTTTAATTAATAATGTATTACCAGTGGCGGGCGGTCCACCCCGGGAACCTCGTTCAAAAAGGAGCAAAAAAAAAATTTGAAGTTTTTCTATTGAAAAAATCAAATTAAAAAAAAAGTAAAGGAAAAAATTAAAATTTTTCTTAAAAACAAATAAAATTTTTAAAAACATACTTTGAATAAGGGCCTATTTAATGCCCCACTTTCTAAAAGGGCTCCACAGTCCCTTACGTATATATGAATAAGGTATCTAGGTTTAAGCCTCCCTGGAGTTAAAAAAAAAAATGTTCAATAGTTTTGTAATATAGCTTGTACTGACGTACTGTGTAGGTAATATATTAGGAATTTTAAATTACAATACGTTGAATTTTCAGTGAACAGTAAACCACGTATCTAATCAAAACGTCACGTCTGATCGCTCAATATAAAATGGCTGTATTTTTGTATATTCATATATGTAATATTCACACTGATAAAAACGTATGCATTCGACAACTCCCATACGCAGCTATATTTAGAACTAAAAACAAGAATCAAATCCATGGAGAACGTTTAAGACAAATTTGAAGTTTTACAGTCAATCAATTTGATGAAAGCAAATAATGATATATTACCAAAACTTATTTCTAATCTAACTGAATTTTACGACGAATTTTCCAAGGATAAGGTTTTGATAGAAATAAAAAGATTAAGACCGCTACAACTCGTTTGCGCACATTCAAAATTTTTTATCTGAAAATCGATGACTCGTTTGCGCACGACGAAATCAGTCGTTTACTTGAAAATAGATAACTCGTATGCGCACGACTCATTTACACATAGACACGTGTATACATATATCGTCAAAGACCAGGGGCGGATACAGAAGCCCTAAAAGGGGGGAGGAAACTGCCCCCATTGCCTCCCTTGTATCCGCCCCTGTCACAGACTGTAATACAAATTATCAAATATAGTATCTTAATATTATCTTATAATCGACCGTGTAGTTCAGGGATTGTAACCTTTATGTTTTTTCTGGTTTCGGTTTAAAGCCGGGTTCACACTACATCGTGACGTGTATTTTACCAGACCGTGTGCTTTGAAAATGTGTGATACCAATATATGTATATATATATATATATATCTTATGATGATGCTATCAAATTTTGGTTACATATTTTCGCAGTTTTTTTATTAGATATAAAATATTTTCATAAGTTTCAATAAATAATAACTGATGAATATTAAATTATATAGTAGACAGTATGTATTATATAATTATTAGGACTCGGAACTTAATGCACTTAAAAAGTATTAAATATGTATGCACTTATGCGTTTAAAAAAGCACAAATATACTTCAAAAATATGCAAAAAAATATTTTTTTTTTTTTTTAACGCAAAAATGTTCAAAATAAAGATATTTTATTAAATATACTCGTACGTAACAGTACAAATGTTGTTATAAATATAGGTATAAATATATAAGATAAAATAAAATAAATAGATTGAAATTTAAAATTTTCTTTCAAAATGTTCCCACTAGATTTTTCATAGTGCCATGAAAATAATTTCAAGATTACTTAGCAATAAATTGAATAGCCCAATAAAATCATGCAAATGCAACATCTTCCGAGCTCTTTGTTGTTATGAATAATGTTATCATAGAATATTAAATTATTACTATTAAAATCAGTAACCACACGTTCAAAAGTTGGATAAAATGAACTTCACGGTATCTTATGGTTAGTGAGGTAACTTGTGATTTATTATACGGTATACCTTGGTTCAGCCAATCAGAGATAATTATTTTAGAATACACGACACGGTGAGGTGTAGTGTGAACCCTACTCAAATCATAAATCTTAAAAATATGAAACTGAGGTTACGGTTAATACCGGTTATAACCTGTCACCAAAAATTATTTTTAAATTAGAATTTTAAGTGATTTTTAAGAGGTGCTTGAATTAGAAATAAGGTAGAAGAGGGATGTAAAAGTGTAAAAAAAAAAAATTGAAGGTTTAAATGATTTATTGAATTGGATATAATTAGAAAGAATACTGTAGCATATTTTTATAAAAATTTGGGAGGGCCCTGGGGCACAAGCACTGTTTTTTTAAGTGTATTTTCTAAAGAATAAAAAGTATTTAAAACCAATATATTTAATTGTTAATAATATTAAAAACATTACCAATGAGTTTTCTGTAGCTGTGCCTGTTTGATTTTTAGTCACAGTAAATGCTAAACTTGAATCAATATATCTTATTAAATCATGCTCGTTTTGAATTATAGCAGTAGAATTTTTATCACAATAAAATTTAAAAAAATATAATAATATGCTAAATAGAAAAGGCTTATAATAAATAATTAACACATAAATAATAAACACATTTTTATTCATTTTTTTTTTTTTTTTAAGTTGAATTATTTCATTAAAGATTGGAAATTGATAGTTAT